GCGGCGCGTGTCAGACGTGAGTAAAAGACAGAAAATATGAGCAGAAACAAAGAATCGTGTGTTAGGTTGTTGTTTTTGCTGGCGCCACTTTGAGCATGTTACTGTGGCTGTGTGCAGGTCAGCAACGAGCTCCGGAGGTCATGAATAATCAGCACTCTCCCTTCTTGAGGAGATGCTGAAGCCAGTGTGAAAGAGGAGCCCAGACTTGGGAAAAAGGGTGGAGTAACTCCACAGGTAAAGTTATGACCCTCCCACTGTCCTGATGGGTGTGACCCCGCGAGGAAAGCAGGCCACTGAGCAGGGTTGACGGTTTATCCCTTGGGTCCTCGTGGCAGGGGTGAGGAGTGAGCACCACCTCACCCCTGCCACGAGGACCTTTGAAAAAGTGACAGCATGTGTGCACATTTTCCTTAATCTACAGATCTGCGTGGTTGAACCGCTTCATTTGGAAGCAAACTTAGTTTGCAGTAACTGAATGTGGAGTAACCAAAGCAAATTTGAAAGAAAAAACACAATTCTGTGGGATGTGCTACTTATGTCTCAATCTTTTTTTTCCGTTCCTTAATTTGTGTAAAAATTCTGCAATTTTGAAATCTTTCATATTTTGAATCTCTGAAGTATTTGTTTTAGGTTTTCTTGTTGTTTACTCTTTATTCTTATTTTTTACTCCTGTAATGAACGTTGTTGCTGCTGTGACACCAAGCTTTCCCCACTGAGGGTCAATAAAGCGATTTTCTAATCTATTTCTATTCTATTTATGTATCCGTAATCTTTCCAGTTCCTGTTTTAAAATAGATTAAATATTTTTTCACGGGCCAACAACAAAACCCACAAAACAGCAACTCTCTTATATGAAAATGCAAAATCTCACCTATTAACTTTCATGCTTTGGAGCAGAAAAAGTGCATAAAAACCTAAATAATCCAGCCCAGTGTGCTCCCCTCTGACTTACTGTGATGCTCACCTGTTCCAGCCAGACACCTGCACCAATGGGGTTGGCTCTGAGCTGAGGAAGGAGCCGTGTTGTTCTGTTCATCTTCATCACAGACAACAGGTGCTCACATAGATAAGTGCTGCTGAACATGGAGAGCATCTGAGCAGCTGGACCATGCGGTTGGTCAGTAGGTCAGGGAAGGAAGATGAAACACTACAGCAACCGTAGAGTCATACTGACTTGGGCGTGTTGCTAAACTGAAGTTAAACCAGCTCCATCAGGAGGTTGGTTGGTGAGCTTTCTGCGTCGAACAGATTACTGAGCTGTTAAAATTCATTTCTGGGCTTCAAAGTCAGCTAATCGCTGAGTGAACTAAGAGGAATGTTTGCAGTTCGTCCAAGACTGAGGAGGTATCGCTGCAGATGCTGATGCTAGCAGCATGGATGCTAATGAATGTAAACAAAAAGGAGGGGGAGCTTCGTCAGATGCGCTAACGCCGCAAAGCACTATGGGATTTGTAGTCTTTGCAGCAAAATCGGCCAGCGGGCCACTTTAATATGTATTTGATATTTGATCTTGCGGGCCAAATAACAGACAGCGGGCCAAATTTGGCTCGAAGGCCTGAGTTTGACGTCTGTGCCCTGGGGTACCGAAGGAGACATTATCAGATGTTCAGCTAACAAGAATCAGAGAGACACTGACCCAATCTTTCCAGAGTTACTGTTAAGGCAAACAAACAATGGTTTTAATGGTGATGCATGCTCCACATGAGTCTGCTCAATGCAGGAAACACAATGCCTGTTGTCATTAGGAGAAAAAGCACATATATGTGTGTGTATGCTGCTGTTATTAGATCCAACTGCAGCCGTTGATACGACTGACCAAGATATTTTGCTTAATCGGTTGGAGCCGTGGGTGGGGACCACTTTAATGGTTTCCGTCATACCTCCATGGTAGGAGGTTTTGTGTGAAAATGGCGGAAGTGTTTTCCTCCTGGGGGGCTCTGCGTTGGGGGGTTCTGCAGGGCTCAGCTCTTTGTCCACTCCTATTTGCCATTTATTTGCTTCTGCTGGGGTCCGTCTTCCGTGGTGCTGAGTTTCATTTTTATGCTGATGACTGCCAGATCTACTCACCACTGTGTCCTGGGAATGGTGCCTCTGTCACGACTCTGGTTAACTGTGTTAATGAAGTCAAGTCCTGTGTGACAAACGTTGTGTTGTCTTGCTTAATCTTATAATAAGCAAACGAGGCGTGAAAACTCCTTTTCAGATCTTTTATTTAACACCAGCCACCGCTCCTGTATCATCCATGGCGTTCTCCCCCTTGTTGTCTTGCCTTCTGGGTAATTGAGTTCTTCCTGAACTATCTCATAACATAACAAACACCACCGCAGAGCCAGTAGGCTCCAGGGAACTAAAAGGACGTAGGTCCGTGCACCCACAGAGCAACAGACTGGTGTTCTTAAATACAATAATGGCCTTTATTTAATTTATCTAAAAACATACAGATAAAAATATACTAGATTAAAAAGGAGGTGCTACACAGGTCAGTTATGTTAAAAACAGGGAAAACCTAAATAAATCCCCCAACTGGCTCCATTAAACGTATCCGGTGTGGGAGATCCGGTGTCATGACTGAGGGAAGTTTCCTGACCCAAGACATGCAGAATTCACACTAGGAGACGTAGGTAGGAAAAAATAAATGTTTTATTTTAAGGAGAACTAAAGGTGCACCGCCAGGTGTGGCGGTGATGTTGAGCACAGCTCCAGGGCTGGGTCTGTTGAGACAAACACTGTCAGGGTTGGGCAGCGGGGAATAGAATTTGCAGGACTCCGTTTGTAGTGGATCTTACTGTGGGGGCTGAAATCCAGAGCTTGGGAGGGTAGCCAGGACTGGGGTGAGAAACGTCAGCGCGAATCCAAAATCCAAGGGAGGTGAGCGGTGGGAGAGCGGGTCAGTTCGGGTGAGGAGGGAGATCAGGCTTGGAGATGAAAACCAGGTTATTGTAGAAAAGGTTCGTGGTGAGAATTCCTGGTGAAGGGAAGGCAGAGGGCATCAAAAACAACAACGACGGACAAATATAAGGCAAGAAAAAAGCTGTAGTTTTCTATAGTGGCAAGAGCTACCCAAGGTGAGTAATCTTCCGGCGAGGTGAAGTGATCTCCAGCTCCTTGTAGTTGATGAGGGAAATCACCGCAGCTGGCCGCTCTCCGGAGCCGCCCACCTGCAACGACTTAAGGTGATTAGAGGAATGTGCAGACTCACCCCAGATCCTGACAGTACCCCCCTCCTCAACGGCCGCCCCCTGGCGGCCTAGCAGAGGAGGAGGAGGAGGAGGAGGAGGAGGAGGAGGAGGAGGAGGAAGAAGACGAGGCCCTGGAGGTCTCAAAATCTGTGATGAGAGAAGGGTCCGTAATGAAAGACCCAGGGACCCATGACCTGTCCTCGGGGCCAAAACCCTCCCAGTCAACAAGGTATTGCCGTCCCCGTCCCCGGGGACGAACGTTGAGGAGCCGCCGGACCGGATAAACCAGGCCACCTTCAAAGAAACGAGGAGGAGGAACAGGAGAGGGACACAGGGTGCTAGACAAAACAGGCTTGACGAGGGACACATGAAACACAGGGTGGACCCTAAGGGAGGAAGGAAGGTTTAAACGGACAGTGGAGGGGCTAGGGACTGCAGCAATGGTGTAGGGACCAATGAAACGAGGAGAGAGCTTCCGGTTGGAGGCTCTCAGGCGTATGTCCCTGGCGGACAGCCACACCCGTTGTCCAGGAACGTACTGAGGAGCAGGACGTCTGTGCCGGTCAGCAACTGTCTTGTTGCGCTCGGCCGTACGTCCCAGGGCCGCGACGGTCTGTGTCCACATACGCCGGGCCCCACGGAGAAACTGTGGAACCGAAGAGGCGGCACTTACTTGGTCCGAGGGAAACAGGGGAGGTTGGAAGCAGGGGTCAGGAACCTTTTTGGCTGAGAGAGCCATGAAAGCCAAATATTTTGAAATGTATTTTCATGAGAGCCATATATATGTTTTAAACACTGGATACAACTAAATGTGTGCAATTTTAAATAAGACCAACATTTTCTCATCACCTCTAGCTCATTGATGCCAAAAGTGCCCTTTTTTGTTACTTATGTGCGAAAAAGGGGTTTTCTCCTTTCTGACTGCAGATCCCAATGCAGCGTAAAACTGATGCAACGGGATGTCTCCTGTCGGGGCACCAAACGAGCTCATTGTACCTCGCCCTAACCTCATCCTCTTGTTATTTAACCTTCCCCTCACCCCATCCTAACCTTAACCATCTTAATAGCTAACACGTTACCCTAACAGTGACCAAGCGTTTGTTTCCCACATAAAATTAGTTGGGTTTGTACCCGCAACGGGGAGGTTTCAACTACCAAGGTGCAGGCTAGAAGTAGGGGGTATTTGTAACCCTTGCCTGGGCGGCAAATCCGAAAATTCAGTCCGAATGCATGGGAAACAAACGCTTGGTCACAGTGAGAGTAACGTTTTAGGTAGCAAGAGGGTGAAGGTTAGGATGAGGGTGGGGGAAGGTTATAAATAGTGAAAGGTTAAGGTTTAGGTGTGGTTAAATGAGCTGGTTCGGTGCCGCATCAGCGGACATCCCACCGCGTCAGTTTTACGCTGCATTAGGATCTGCAGTCAGAAAGGAGAAAACCCCCATTTCGCACATAAGTGATGAAAAAGAGCACGTTTGGCATCAGGGGTTTGACGCGGAGGGTGGCTGACCAAGTGTTTGTTTTTGACGCGCTGGGAGTGAGAACGTGTTGCTGAAACAGGTGCGGTAGAAAATGGATGGCTGTTAAAATGCACAAGAATGTTTTTTATGCTTAACACTGTGGTTTCTGTGAATTATCTGAGAGCCACATGCAGTCATCAGAAGAGCTACAGGTTCCCTACCCCTGAGCTGGGGTGGGGGGGTGATAGTGCCAGTTGGCACTGGGAGTTCTCGTGTTAAGATAAATGCCAATTCAGTGTGTCTGAAAGCTGCATCATAATGTGAAGCAAATTCAAACAACATTTTGTTTTTCCCCTTTCAACAGAATGTCAGTGGCCATCAGCTGCCCCCCCAAAGAGGGAAGGCTCCAGTTGAACGTCGCCAGTTCTGCCAGTGGCCCTGCAAATGTGGCGAGAGGTCTTATTGCTCCCCCGGGGTGAGCTCTGTCCTGGATGGCTGTGGCTGTTGCAAGAGCTGTGCACGGCAGATTGGAGAGTCCTGCAATGAGAGGGATGTGTGTGATCCACACAAGGGCATGTACTGTGACTTCTCATCAGATAAACCAAGATATGAGGTCGGCGTGTGTGCATGTGAGTGAATTTCTCTAAATGATGTCAAAGTAGGTGACAGGAGGACCCAACAAAGCAGGTAAAGCAGTGAGTCAGTGCTTAGATGGGTCAGTGTGACACACGTTAGCAGCAGGACAACACTGAAGACGTAGAAGAAGAAAGTATTTTTTTTACTTGTCCATCAAGATGAAAATCAGAAAGAGCCTCTCGATCCAAATCAAAGCCTTACTGTCATAAATACTTCCTACTTTGCTGTCTGTACTGATGTCAAAGCTAAAAATAGAATAAAAAACTTACAGTAAAAATTACAAAAAGGATAAAAGCTAGTTCCAAAGGTGGTATTTTCTTGAAAAAGAGTATGGGGGGGGGGTGATCCCCCCCGTTTTATTGCAGTGATGCAATTCAGCATGCTCACTGTGAATGAAAAGGTTTGGATTACATGCACCTAAAAGGCTGGTTCATATGCAGAAACCTGAAGGATGCATACTTCCATGTCTCAGTAATTCCTAAACACCAGGGGTTATCAACATCATGCCATTCACAATATCACCAGCTATCATTTCCTGCCAAGAAGACATCTATCATGTTCAGCTACCGTCATGATTTAATTGCATCCACCACACAAACGATTATGTTCATGTGTTCATCAGCATGAAGTTATTGACGTTATATAAGCAAACATGGCTGGAATCAGTTTTACTGTAATCTTGTTATTATTTTCGAAGTGT